TATGGAATTTGCGGATCAAGAAGTAAGTAAATATTAAGAACCGTTACCGAAAAAGACAGAAATTTAAACATACTATTACGACTCCTAACGTAAGCTCTGATATGGCACCTATGAAGTTTTTTTGGTAATATGACCGAAGAAGAAATATTCAGATATAAAACAAACCGTCTTAACTCATTTTTTAGCCAACCGGTGTTTAACGAATGGAAAAATCATCATATAACATTGCCTTTGAAATTAAAGTGGGTTGATGCTGAAATAGGATAGGTTAGTTAGGAATAAACATCATGTAGCTAATTTACTTTTCCCAAACTTTGCAATTTGTTCATACTTGCTAATAATAAAGATCCTACGATCAAATTCTTTGCATAGGACCATGCTCATTATTCTGCTAATCGGATTTGCCTTTAGCTGAAATATTCAGGGTTGGTGGAGATCTTGATTTCATTACTAATTATTGCAGAGGGTTAATCGAAGATGAGTATAAGGGATTCAGTTAGTAATATAAAAACTTCAGGTTTAATGAAATCGTCAAATCAAAAAGCAAAAAGTTTTTAATCAAGTTCTTCAAATATAAAATTGATTGTCCTTTTTCAATAAAATCTACCAAACGAATGAATCCTTTCTTATGCCCAATACTTGGATTTTTTTCATTGATTTGCAAATTTCAAATATGTACAGTATATAATGAATTGAAAGAATTGTCTTTGGTATAGTTATTATTATTATTATATTTATTATTTTACAATAAATAATTAATTAATTTTGAATTATTACAAAAAAAATTTTTGGTATTAATGTCATTTTGATTTAAATATATTAATATACATGTATATTAATAATAATAATTAAAATGAAGTGTTTTTTTTTTGATTAATGGAATGAAATAAAATAAATGAATAACAAAATAAATTAAATGATGATAAAATATTTCTAAAGGAAAAATAAAAATCAACTAAATAAATAAAAAAAAATAAAAATCAATTAATAATATTGGTCAACCAACAAAAATAATTGATTATATTTTTTTTTAAAAAAAAAAAATTCAATATTTATATTTATGATATTATATATATATATATATTTATTAATATAATCCCCAAAATTATATAAACCCTTCTCTTCTCCCTTCATGTCGTGGAGATTGTATAGGTGAAAATAACACATTAGCATTTTCTATAATATATTCAATTACAGAATTTTTGTAATTCATATCAAGTATTTCTGTATTTGGATTTGGACCACGTAATAATGTTGGACCAAAAACCACTGAAAGATTTTTAGAATTCATTAAATTTTCCGACTCGTGTTCTTTTACTCTATTACCCAAAAAATTTTATTTTAATAAATAATAATTATCAAATTGTTAATCACCAATTATACAATTTACAATGCTAATACTAACCTGGATAAATGTAACATCAAGTATTTTATTGTTGCATAATTAACCTTTGGTAATTTTAATAATAATTGTTTTAATTT